GCTTTTATCATGTATTTATAATATCTCCGAGCTTAGTAAAATAAATTGGCTACCGTTCATAATGTGTACTTTAAACCTTTAACTCGTGCCATAAATATTAATTAAAATGGTTTGTTCAATATTATTTGTTCAAAGTAACTTCTTTTTCCCAACTCGTTTATTATAAAACAACTATTAACAGATATGATAAGTTATTGCAGCTTGATATTAAAAATTATTATTCACTGGCCTTCATTAAATCAAAAATATTTTCCAATATAGATCATCAATATGTTTTTAAGAGAAAATACCAAATTTATTACAAAACCAACTGCGCTATGTTAAGAAAAAATTACCAGGAGTAAATTTTGTTTAATACAGATAACAAATAATTATTTAACATTAGTTATTATAAATAATATAGTCTGCAACAAATTTAAATAATTTAACATTCACTATTTGTTTCCCATATTGTATTCTTATTCAAATTTCATTTTTTTAACAAATAAGTAGAGAAGTAATTTTTTCATTTCAGTTTTCTATGTCGGTTTATTTTCAATATTCCTATTTTTGTTCTTGTTTTTTTTTAATATATCGATGACCAATTTAAAGTCAACATTTTAAGTATTCACACCCCTGTAACTGAATCAGATAACACAAACAAACAAACATTGACTCTAGAGGCTTATGTTCATATTCAAAATCATTAATTAATCTCAAGATCGCATTCCTCTAACATCGAAAGTACAATTTTACTTTCTTCAAATGGCAAACACAAAATACAAATATTACTAGAAACATTTAGTTACACAATTGTTATTTTTTTAAAAGCAAAGTTAATAAAAGCAAATTGAAACATATTTTATTTAAAAAAAAATTTTTAGTGATATTCGAAGTTATTGAAAACATTTTAGGTGCATAATCTATCATGCAGATTTTCCCAGTTCTAACTCTTTTCAACATGTTTAGTTAAAAACACCTAATTGTCATACTAACTGTTTGTTATACATAATCCATTCATTTATGATTTTGATTATATATTATATATATGCCACTCACTTATAATTTTATTATTTATTAGTTACTAATAAACTATATTAGTTTTATTTGTTTATTTTCTAATCAAGTCATCAGTAATTTCTTTTTCAAACATTATTATAATTAAGCAAAAAATCTAAGTTTTGAAAATTTATTATAATTTGCCTGTTATTCCCAAGATAAAGTATTTTACAATAAAAATGTAAAAACAAAATGCAAACTGAAAAAATTTAAATAAAATAATTCAAATGTTAATGGCAATATATCATATTATTTCTCATTATTTGAAGAAAGTTCATAAAAATAGGATCTAACTATTAGGGTCAAACTTATCAACTTTTTTAAGTTAATTAAAAATGTTTAAGAACAAACCTCTTTGTCAGAATATGAGCCTAGTTTGATTATTTTCCTCGGTTCTTCCGATGTAAGTTTTTCAACAGTTGTTTCAACTTCTACGGTATTATCCTTGATGTCAGTTTCTTCATGTTTTTCTTCAATCATATCATGTGTTCTTTTTAATGTGATTGTATTTTCAATTGGAGGAGTTGTATCAACATCTTTATCCTCCAGTTCGTCATCCTATTTTATAACATAAAAAATATGAAAAATAATAATTCAAATAAGAGATCAATGCAACTACAGTAATTTGCATGAATCTTATATTGTAATTTGTAAAAATTAATCTCTTTATAATCTATTGGGTTGTTCGGAAAGTAACTTCATTTTTTATAGACGTTTTGGCACGTAATTTTCATACAATAAACAAATACTTTAATAAATTATGTATTGGCAGTTATGATCAAACATCTTTTGTCATATTTCTGGTATTAGCATAATCCCGAGATCATAATTTTTTTGGTCGTTATAGGCAAAAAACTGATCAAAGTGCTTTTTGACAGCCTGATTTGAGGTAAAGGTTTTACCGCCTAAAAATTTTGTTAGTGACCGGAACAAATAATGGTCCGATGACTGTGGGTCTGGACAATATGACAAATGTGTTATTGGGTCCCATTCAAGCTACAAAAGCTTTTGGCAATTGACCCAACTTATGTGAGGTCTTGCGTTGTCCTGATGCAGTACTATACCTTGCTTGTGAAATAATTCTGACCTTTTCTATTCAAGTACATCATTTAGTTTATCCAGCTGATGACATAAGGCATCAGAATTAAATGTTATGTTATCCTGGAAATACTGAAAAATGAACAAATCCTTTCAAATCTTACCAAACATACAGCATCACCCTTTTCTGGCAAATTTCAGCTTTTTTGTTTCTTACTACTGCATGTAATTGATAAAAATTTTTTACACACAAGCCTTAAAATATAAGTTTTTAAATCATATAATAATTTGAGAGTCAAACAAATATAGTTAAATTCTAGAGGTAAAAGAATAAAGTGACTTTCCAAACAACCTTATAATATTATAAACTTGATTATATATTTAAGAAAAGCCAAATGATGCAAACTTTCTATCATACACTTATGAACTTAAATACTTACATTCAATACATCTTCGTCTAGTATAGCTGAATCTGCCAAAACATCAGACTTGGCATCTGCTATATCTGAAATATCACATTACATAAATTATAATATAATGATAATGTCAAAACTAATTAGATGTACCAATTTATTTACCAAGATCATTATTAGTTAAAGAATCTTTAAGTCTTTCGATCAATTCGTTCTTATTTCCATTTGTGCTTAATCCCTTTGATTTCAGCTCTTTTTTTAAATCTGCAACCTATAACGAACAACAATTTATACCATAAACTATTAAACATGCTGTGTAATAGAATTAAACGTACAAATTAATTTTATATACAAAACTAATTCTCAAGAATTATCTACATAATATCTATGTAGTGGCAAAATAAACAATCTTGTGATACAAAACATGTCAGACACACATTTCAAGCTCATTTACACATCTAGCAAAGGAAAAATAAATAAACTAACATGTGTTATTCGTAAATTCAAAGAAGTTCGTAAAGTTTAACTAAATAGAGAAGGCCAGGAACGTCTCTTCCTTCAATAAATTTTCTAAACAGAAACCGGCACAAAAACATGGTACTGATATTCTAATAATGAGCAATTGTAATTATACCATTTATATAACAAAATAGTGAAATCGTATAATGATAGATAAAATTTTTATTCACCTTTAGTTTAGAGAGATCAGTTGAGCTGCTATCGATTAAATCAGACATTTTAATAGGTTATGTAAATAAGCTATTTTGCTTTGCATTAAGAGATAACAAGACCAGAATTCGATCAAATTGCTAAATTTCATATATCTAAAATATACGAATAGATTTACTTGATACTTGAACAACAAGAAAACAGGACGAAAACACAGATGAAACAAATCTGACAGTTTTCAAAGGGTTTTCAACAAAAAAGCAGGGTGATCACAAATTCTTGTTGATCAACACAGAGAGCAAGAGAGCTACTACGCCATAGATTTAATATTTTGACTCGGTTGGGCATGGGCATCGATAGTTTCGAGCATAGTGTCTTTTTTGTACTTTGAGACCTAGACAAGACACTACATAATGTTTCAACTCGCTTTAGAGCATCCGGGAATTGGAAACCTCAAAATCAAGCAGCGAAGAGTTTAATTAAACTGTTGAATTGTTGCAAACTAGCGGTGCATGGCATCGTGCCTTAAGGCAAATTTCTGGAACTTCCCGTACTGAAAATCAAAATTTTTAAATAAGCCTAAAATTTTTGGAAAACTTAAAAAATGAGATTGACAAAATATTTGGCAAATACTTGAAAAATTTAATTTTTTTTACAAATCAAAATCGTCAAAATAAATTAAAATTTAATTGTGAAGAAATGGCCCGGCCGATATTTTTTTTTATCTATGGGCCGATCTTTACCAAATAATCAATACGATTCTCAACCATAATATCTTTCGAACAGTTTTTTGAATTTTTAAAATCGATTCATAATTGTGGGCTAAAACGTGGACAATTTTTTTTACACTATTCTGCTAATTACAAAGAGCTGGTGTTGAAATTGAGTTGGGTCGAATGGCTTTTAAATTTTTGAAAGCTGAAGAAAAATAAGCGTAGCATCCATTTTTGAAAAAACGTTGATGAACGGTCAAAAATTGGACTAAATACTCACGCATATGCATACAAATTACACACACACATACTTTTTTTTAAATTTGGTCCCATTCGATTCAAAATTACTTGAAAGGTAGAGAAAATAAAGTTTTATGCAAAAAATCTTCAACCGATTTTGAAAATGTGAAAACCGTTCGAAAGACATCAGTTGGTAAATCATTGATGATGATTAGTTTTTAGTTAAGATCGGCCGGGGCCATATTCATAATTAATCGTAGATATTTTTATGATTTTGATGAAATTTTGTAAGCTGGTAGAGTCTAAACCACTCTATTACACTAAACTAATATATTAAAATATTAAATAGGCCTACAAAACCGGTTGAAGTGGCAAAAATCCGCGGACATCTTTAGTATGTGTGTTGTACTACATAGAAATAAACATGCCCTCCATGTTTACTTATCTATGTGCCCTCCAAAATTGTTGGGAACCTGCTCGAAATTATTTCAAGCACTAAGCAAATTATTTTAAGCATATAGTCCAAAACATTATAAAAGTAGTGGTGCCATGGCATTTCCCGAACCGTAATTTAAAATGTTTAAAAGCTCAAAAAAGTTGTATTTATTAACTTACCCTATGGGAAGTTAATAAATACAACCTCATCAAATTTTTGGAGAGTTTTTGAGTTTGAAAAAAAAAGGACTGTAATTAGTCTTAAAGGACTGTTGCATATTTTCAATAAAATCTAGTCAAATTCTAAAGTAGAATGTGACTTGGTTTATCAACTTGTTCAATGTTTTCAAATGGCCTATAAAAAACATATATTAACTAAATTATATTAATAAAAAAAAATATTATGGTTTCATTCAATAAATGTATTTCTTAACCAAATATTTTCAAACCTTGTCTATAAAGATTTGAGGTATAAATTAAAAGTTTCAACAGGTGTACCAGCAACATTAATGCAAAATTCTTCATTAGTTCCTTCAATCAAAGCTTTTAAAGACACGTAGTTAGGTTTTGTGCAATCATATTGATTGCGATTTAAATGTCTCAAGAACGAATCCCTTTGCTTAATTATAAACTCTCTTGCATAAAATATTTCTGGCATTTCTAATATATGTTTATGTGATATTTTCATTGTATTGTGAATATAATCAAATTTTGCTAGTAATTTAAATCTATCTGAAATTATACAAATATTATTTAATACAAAATAGAATAAATAGATCTTTAATACAAAAATTTAATAATTCTTACTTTGCATCCATATTCGCGGCTTCCTCAATAATAAAATTTTCATCTCATCATCTGTAAACCCCATTTCTTCTTTAATTGTAAAAGTATTTTCTTTGATTGAGTTCATACTATATGTTATGAGTCGTGGCTGTGCGTTTGCCAATGCACGTACTTCATTTCCTGTGAGATTAAAATCTTTTTGAAAGTAACCTAGCCTTTGATCGATATCTCTTGTACTGAAATATAAAAAAAAAACTCGTTAGGGATCGTTCAAGTATTACGTAAGCAGATTTATTACAATTATTTACCCCCCCCCCCTCCTCTTTGTCAGCAAAAGTAAGCAAATTTCTTACCCAAACTAAACAAAATAAGCAAATAAATAACCCCCCCCAGCCCCCCTATAGTGCTTACGTAATACTTGAACGGCCCTTTATGCCTAAATATATAAAACCAACATGCTAGCATGTAAAATTTGAATTTCCGTTACCTGTAACTCAACCACATAGGGTTTTTTGTTATGATTCTGGAAATCATTTCAGGTGTAAATTGTTTGTACTGCATATAATAAATTCTAGTTTGTACATCATCAATATCTTCTTTTAAAAATCCAGGGTTTTTTGTTAGAAATTTTCCAAGTTCTTCCATGGGAACACCGAGGCCATTCAAATAAATTATTCTGTTTTTAATATCTTTATCATAATCTAGTTGCAAAATATAATCAGGAACGTTTTTCATTTTTTCTAGTTTACTCAAATCTACTCCTAACTTGACTAATTCCTGCAATGTTTTAGATTTATTGACGTAAGCAGCAAAATTAAAAGACTGTTTCAGATAGGGAGTAAAGCTTTGTAAGTCATCTTCTTGTGTTGGGGGTAAAAGGACGGATCTGTTTTCATCTTGTTTAATTTTCTTTAATTCCGTATTCCAATCGATAATACCATTTTCCAATTCTTCAGTAGTAGTAACAGTTTGAAGAATTACTTTATTTTGGGTATTTGTTGCTACTGCTTTTTCTGAACTTCCATAACGTGCACATATTTGGTTAAATTTGCCTTGCCTCGAGGTTATATTGTGGAATAACTTACGCATTATCATAATTAATAAATACTTGAAATCGAATTATTGTTGGTCCATTTTTAATTTGCACTACTGTAAATAAAATAAGTCAATCAAATTCAATCAGCAAAAATTTTTTAGTAGTAATATTATTTTGTTTGTATCTAATTCTACTAACCTAACTTATGTTGACGTTGCTGTGTTCTAAATTATCAGACACAACAATTGACAGAAGATTCAGATTCTCACGAAGTAGAAAATAACTTTATATATTTTGTTTGTCATAAGACATTTTTCGTAGGTATGAATAAAAGAATATAATATGTAGTTTGATTTCAAATATATTAAAAATCCAATAAAAATTGTTATTTATCGTTTCCATGAAAGATGATGTCAAACGTCATTATTTCTAAATATGAAGCAAGAATGTTGTGTATAGTTTGTAGTTGCTGATGTTAAAACATATTACAAACATTATCGAAATAATTTAGTAATAATTTCCTAGGCAATATATTCTATTCAATAGACAATATAATCTATTCATAATTCTTCCAATTATCTAGTTTATGCATAAGACAAAGTGAAAGCTCTATCATGGACCTCAAGATGTATACAGTAAACAACAAGTATGAAAAATATATTATGTTTATTGTATTGGGATGTTCGGAAAGTAACTTCGTTTTTTACAGACTACAATAAACATTTGCTTTAATAAATTATGTATTGGCAGTTTTGATCGAACATCTTTTGTCATATTTCTGGTATTAGCATAATACCGAAATCATAAATGTTTTGGTCTTTATTGGCAAAAAACTGATCAATGTGCTTTTCGACAGTCTGATTTGAGGTAAAGGTTTCACCGCCTAAAAATTTTTTTAGTTGCCGGAACAAATATTGGTCTGATGATGGCAGATCTGGAGAATATGAGGAATGTGTCATTGGGTTCCATTCAAGCTTCAAAAGCTATTGATGATTGATCAAGCTTATGTGAGGTCTTGCATTGTCTTGATACAGGACTATACCTTGTGGGTTAATTCTGACCTTTTCTATTGAAGAATATCATTTAGTTTATCCAGCTGATGACATAAGGCATCTGAAATAACCGTTATGTTATCCTGGTAAAGCTGAAAAATGAACAACTCCTTTAAAATCTTACCAAACATACTGCATCACCTTTTTCTGGTAAATTTCAGCTTTGCACCTGTTTTGAGCAGGTTTTTCCTTTTTGTCTCATGGGCAATTGCGTGTATTGTACTCTTTACATCCCATTTGAAATTCTTAGTGACATATTGCTTCAAAACCTGATAATTTTCAAGACTTTCCAGGGGCTATTCGCGGACGCCAGCGCGACGACACACGTTTCTTTCTATGAGAACCATACATTGAGTTTCGAGGAAATTCCCAGACCTTTTAAGTGGTAATGAACTGTTAAATTTGATAAATTTTCACTCAGTGGGATCTCATGTATTGTTATTCACTGGTTTGCTTCAACTAATGTCTTTCTCATGTCTTTATCAGCTTCAACCGTACTTCTTGGACTTGTAATTTGGACATCAAAATACCAGGAATGAAATTTAACAAACCAATTTTCGGACTGTCGTACTGTCAACACGTTATTTCCGTACACACCAATCAATCATTTTGGCTTAAACAGTTTTTATACCTTTTCTATAGCAAAAGAGTAAAATTTGTTGAAAATGCTGCTCAATTCTTTCCATATTCAAAGTGGCACCATCTAAAACTACTGCATGTAATTGATTAGAATTTTTACATTCAAGCCTTAAAATATAAGGTTTCAAATCATATAATAATTATAGGACTTAAGTGTGATGTTAGGTTCAAAAAAATATAGTTAAATTCTGGTGGTAAAAAAACAAAGTGACTTTCCGAACAACTTTATATATGTCTTTCTAGCAGTAATATTATAGATATTATATTTATTTTTAAGGATCAAAAATGCGATAACCATAATAAATTCTATGGATGAAAAAAAGTTTCCTATTTTAGTATCGCATATAAGTGATATGCTTGAAAACCAAAAGGAACTGTCACCAGAGGAAATAAACAAATTAGAATCATCTCTAAAACTCAATTCTTACGAAGTACAATTGTTAATTTCCACTGTGCAATATTTGCTTACTGAAAATGACAAATATGTCATTAAACCTTCAGTCCTGCATTCAAAAATGATGTCCATAGGAATAAACGAATCAAAAGTAGAACCCTTCATCAAGATATGGATGAAAAATAATAAAGAATTGTTAGAAGATTTATGTACCAATGATTTAAATAAACCAACGCGCTTAGAGGACTTTAAATGGCAATTAAGTTTACAAGTATGTTCAACAACAAAACAGAAACAGAAATTGCCTACAGCCATGATGCAATTTGTTTTATCGAAAGATGGCAGTGAAGATTTGTGCGAACTTGAAATGAATCATGAGCAGCTTTCAGCCTTTTATAATCAATTGGAAAATATACAACAGAAATTGGATGCCATAAACAGTTGAGCATGGTATAAATATATTATTGAATGATTTAATACAACTATGTTTTTTTAAAATAAATAATAGAACCTTTTGATTATACATTAATACTAATCTTTGGCATCTGCAATTCCACCAGTAGTTATTGCAAATGTTGCTTCACTTTCTGGTAAATCTGGGCTATCGTATATTTTGCATATACGTGTTTCACCACGTCCTTTTCGAAGAGATAGACGAGTTGTAGAGGCATGAGCCATTATGTTACCACCTGAAAAAAATTTATTTGAAAGCATTTAATATATAAAAGTTATTATTTGTTAATTATTTAATATGACAATTTTGTTAAAAATATTCTAGAGCTTTATCTTTTATTAGTATCTACCAAAATAAGGATTTAATTTTTGTTTAAGTTACTGTGTAAATTTATAAATAAATAACATTGAGGATACAAAAAAAATACGAGATATATTTTTAATAGCTGACTTATATGTATATTCAAACATTTATGTTATCCAAATATAATCTATATAACTAAAAACTGAAAATCAATCTGATCACCAAACCTATTGGTTTCTTGGGATCCGCTTGGAATGATAATGTGGCACCAGGATCTGATGTCATTTGATTTGTAATAAAAACTGCCACATTATATTCTTCAGATATTTTTTGAAGCTTTGACATCAACTGAGCCAACTTTTGTTGCCTATCTGCCAATTCACCACGGCCACTAAAAATTACTTAATTATAAACAAAAGATCTATATCAAATCATATTTATTAACGTTAATAAATCAATAATTTATGCAGGTGTTAATTCATAGTTCATATACATAGTTCTTAAAGTGTTCAATGGAATACCTATAGTCAACTCGAAATAAAGCCATTGATGAGTCTATTATAAGTAATTTAAATACACCGGCCTCTTCATGAAATTTAGCTGCTACGTAGTCCAATAACTCATATTGATGTTCTGAAGTATATGCGCGGGCATAAAGTACATTGTCCAGTACAGCTACCTGGTCCAAATTAAATCGTTCAGCAATTGGCCTCAACCGGTCAGGTCTGCTGTAAGATGATGAAATTTTTAAATTAATATTGCTAGAGATCATAATATAATTGGTTTAAAATTTAGGCTTGCAAGAAATAGCATATTCGGCAAAGTGCCGAATACCGAATATTCGGCATGCTTCAGAGACCGAATACCGAATATTCGGCATGCTCCAGGGATCGAATACCGAATATTCGGCAACTAATTCGGCAGGTTTTCAGCGCCTAAACTTGTTCGTAATAATGTAATTACTATTCGTAGTTGTTATATTACTAACGTACTACATATACATTCAATTTTTATGCCTAGTGTTGCAACTACTATTCGGTTACTCTTTCTTATTTGGATAATTTGGCACCATTTTTACTCTTCGGCCGAATACCGAATACTTAAATAACATATGTAATAGGGAAATAAATCAAAAAACGATTTTTTTATATTTTCTTCATGAACATTTAATATTTTCTTTTATAAACACAATGTTGTTTTTAATATATTTGGAACGCTAATCTTAATAAAATAAATACAAACTGACCAAAGATATTGTTCGTATTTTTTGCCATGATCCTATGATATCTATTTATTTAGAAATGCTTTGATTGAATATAATGAATGACTTTATTGAATATAGATACAACATATGCGTGTAACCCTTGAATGATTCTTATTAAATAAATACATAACAGTAACGCGTCCTTTGAATATTGATTAGAGTAGTTCACGTGTTCGTTTATAATCCTAAAAGTAGATAAAGTTTAAACTATATATATATATATACAAAATATAATAACAAATTTATTTTGTCATATCATTATTATGTAAACTAAAACCTTCCAAACATATATGTCCATATTGTAATTACAATAGTAACTTAAGTTACTATTCGGTATTCGGCCGAATATCAAAAAGGTGCCGAATATCGAATAGTAACCGAATATTCGGTGAAAGCCTAGTTTAAATGCAATAATAAAAGCACAAAAACCTTGTGCTAGTTCAGACATTTTTTAAATATACTGACAATGAGCAAATTCAGTATTGGATAAATTGAAAAATCTTTTATATCAATTTTAACTACTACTTACAATGTGTGTTCCGTGTCAATAAAAATAACTTTTCCGCCGTTATAATTATTTGCACCAGGCATTTGGGCAGTGACACACAGTGTGTGCGATAACTGTGTTTTGCCAGTTCGAAATTCTCCAAAAGCTTCTGTGATTGCCATTGATTCAATTCCGCCACCTAAAAGTTTGCTTTTAAACAAATAATATGATTAAATTATTTATATAAAAAATAATACTATAATATTATTATTATATAAGTACTTAATGTTTTTGTCAAATATTCTGTCAAGTTAAAAACTCGAGAGAATTTCTTAGCTGCAATTCTTCTACAAAGGTACAGTAAATTTATTATACGAAGTAAACTATAATTAAAGTTTTTTATTTTATTTTACAGTTTCACTTTAAATATTTACTTAAGAAAAGTTGCATATACGTATTAAAAATACTTGAAAATATTTAAGATGATCATTCAAAATGATTAAATTTGATTTGGGGTTATAGGATTCGAGCGGGCCTTAAAGGTCCACAGGTAAACAGGTCTATCGACATCTAGAATTCAAGTAAAGTAAAAAAAAAATTAACAACAAGATTGGCAAGAACTGGGAAAACGAGGTACAACTAGCCATCACCTTGATTCTTAAGACGTTTAGTTTGCGAGATTTTAGTATAATATTGAATTATTCGTAATTCAATTATTTTATAAGATATATTTATTTATATATTTTATAAGATATATTGTTATAATTTTAAGAAATATTCAACAGTTTTTTTATATAATCTTTAAACAGCTTACACGTGGGTAGGGTAACAATTGTTACCTTAAGAACCAAGAACCAACTGAACTTTTACCCTGGCAAAGGTGTAAACAATAAAAATAGTAATTAGAAAAGTTAAAATGAAATTTTTGTCCTATTGATTTTGTCCTATGATTGAATAAATTGTTATTTCATCTCTGCTGATGAATTATTTCTGACGATTCTAGATCAAGGTTATATACAGTATTAACTCTGTAAATAAATGTACTCATAAAATTTATATTTTGCATTGGCCGAATAAAGTAGCTATTATTTCAATTGAAATCCCTTTAAAAATAAAAATAAGACATTTTTCCAGTAGACCGCGTCTATGGGGTAAAAAAACAGGTAACAAATTAAAAAAAAACAGCATAAAACACATTTTTCGAATATTTGTAACCTGGTCCTTTTTACCCCATGGTTGGGGTAAATTGAAACGGCTAGAATTTTACAAAATAATAGCTACATTACAACCAAAGTTAAATATAAATTTTGTGTGTGCATTTTTACAGTGATAACATACTGTAAATAACTTTAATCTTGTATTTTGTCAGAAATACTCATCAGATTTCAAATAACAATATATTTTTTAACTTCCCGTAGGGTAAGTTATAGTAATGGGCCAAAAATCGAAAATGAAAGTTTTTGCATATCCTCACGTTTAGAGGTTTCTGAACATTTTGGCATGGCTCAGCAAAAATTGATATGTGTGTGTGAGTGTGTTTTGTGTGTCCACAATTTTCCGTCGACGTTTTCGGGCGCACGGATCAACCGATTTGAATGGTTCGAAAAACATTCGATTCCCATTGATAGGGAGATGCGCTGATTAGTTTTTGGCAGATACAGGTCCATCCGTTACGGCGGAGATACGGAGCAAAGAGTGCAGAAAATATAAATAGAGCTTTTGAGAGAACGGAGTTCCCGATTAGAATGATACAAAAAGCATTCAATTTGTAATAATTGAGAGAAGTGGTGATTAGCTTTTGATAAAAACAGGCCCAGCCATTTCGAAGATATAGAGTTAAATACAAAAAAGCAGTTTTTGAGAGGACTAAGCATCCGATTTGAATGGTTCATAAAAACTTTCTTCTTGCGTTGACAAAACAATTGCTTTAAGAGATTTTTTTTTATTATTACATTTTTTTAAAAAAAGCTCACTTATATACTTTAAATAAATAAATTTACCTTTGTAATTCAGTTTATATATTTCTTATAAATATTAGACAATGTTACAGTGTTTATAATAATATTTGAAAACATTTATTATTTCTTGAACATTTCGTTACGCTGCGGAAAGTTCCAGCAATTTGCCTTAAGGCACGATGCCATACATTACTATAGCTTAATTTTTTTTTGTAAAATTGCTTTATTTAACTTAATTTTCTTTTTATTTGCTGTTTTTATATTTTATAAACCTTTGCCCCAAGGTAAAGGATTAGTTGGTCCTTTTTACCCCAGTCAAGTGTGAGCTTTTATAGAGGTAATATAAAAAAATCATTGAATATTACTTGAACTTAACAATACATCTTCTAAAATAATGCATACTTAAAAATAATATCGAGGTGTCGTAAACAAAACAACATTGCTCACAATCAAAATAGCTAATAGCAAAATAAAAGTGCCGTTAATTTCCCGATTGCGACATCATAAGAATCAAGAATGGCTGAATATGCATTGTTTTCATATACTGTTAAAAAATTACTAACTTTACTGGTTTTTGAGATATCGTTGGTGGAGCTTTTACCCGCGGACCTTTAAGCCCCGCTGAACCCTACATAGCAGCACAACAAATGAAATGATATGAAATGAAAATATGTCAGATATTTAACTAAAATAAAAAGACGTTAAGAAGTTCTATTAAAAAAGCTTTCAATAATTACTCTAGTTCTTGACTTCCAGTGCTCACGCGGAATACCATTTTGCGCCTTTCGCTAACCTCCAAAGCCGTTACAAATCCAACGGTCGAAATTTTAACACAAGCTTCTTTTATCTTGTCCACTTTAGCTTCTGAAAATCCTTTAATGGCCGTTAGTTTTTTCTTAGTCATCATCTGTATACCTTTTATGGTACATATTCCTGACGATTTCAACTTTTTTATATCAGCTACGTTGATTCCATGCTGCTGCAATATATCAACGTCTTGAAAAAACAACTCGTCTTCCTCTAAATCAGAATTAGTTCGTTCTGCAGATTGTGCCATTTTTATAACTTTATTATATTAACTTATTTAAATTAATCTTTACGAGTAAAAGAGTAAAAGCATTCAAATTCACAAACAATGAACTGACGTTTAGAGATCCACCCATGATTGCCAACTTAAAAATAATAAAAAATATGTTAATTTGAATAGATCATTTTTCTCAAATTTTTATTTTGTCATATGATTTTATTTTATTTTCATTGGCCTTTATTTCAATTTTATTAGTTAATATTAACTATATTGTTATATAGAATTCTATTAATTATTTATAGTCCTAGACAATTATAGAATAAAATATTCATATATATATATATAAAAGCAGATATAATTATTAATTTTTCTGAATATATATTTACAATTCAATATTTATCAAAATATCAAACATGAAGTCATCATGAAGTTTTTAAGATCTTAATATATAATATTCTAATATTGTCTAGGGCAGCGGCTTTTCAAACTATGAGTCGCGACCTCAAATGGGGTTGCGTAGGAAAATTCTGGGGTCGCAGGAGATTTTTATGTCAAATATTTATATCATTTTATAACATCACATCTTGATTTTTGTTGTTTTCAAGGAATTCTTAAACTATATATTTTCATATATATTGTTACCAAAAAATAAATCATATAAAAATATTATTTTTTTCCTTCATTTGTGTCGTTTCATGGTGTTGCCAAGAAATTTGCAATCATAGATAAAAGAAGAGTATTGGCATGTATTAGCAATCGTAAATGGGGTCGCAAAGAACAAAAGTTTAAGAAGCCCTGGTCTAGGGTCTTTAGCATATTCATAATCGGGTTTTGTTTTTGTTTAAATTAACTATTGTTGTAAGTCGAAAATTGCTGGAACTTTTCGTACTGTAACGAAATATTCGAGAAATATTAAATACTTTCAAATAGATTATTATAAATACTGTAACACTGTCTAATATTTATAAACTGAATTACAAAGTTAAATTTATTTAATTAAAGTATATAAGTCAGTTTTAAAACTTTAGTCAGAATTAAAATTAAAATATGAATTATTTTTGATATAAAGAAAATAAAAAAAATGACCCTTTTATTCCCCAAAGCAACAGTTTTGTCAACATAAGCAGTACTGCCATTTTTTGTACATTTAGCTTTGTATCTTCGAATTGGCTGGACCTGCCTCTGCCAAAGACTAATCACCATGGTGAAAAACTGATGTTTGATGGATAATTCAAATCGCCGGATACTCTCTAAAATTCGTTTTCCATTTTCTGCACCCTTTGCTCCGTATCTCTGTAACGGCTGGACCTCTCCCATCAATAGGAATCGAATGGTTTTTGAACCATTCAAATTGGTTGATCAAATTGGCGCCCGAAAACGTGGACGAAAAAATGCGGACATACAAAACACACATCCATTTTTTCTTAGGTATGCCAAAATGTTCCAATCCCTTTGAAACGTGAAGATATGCAAAAATTTTCATTTTCGATTATCGGCCTATGGAAAGATAATAATAATCAATTAGAATTGATATTCAGCTGTTTAGGTAAAATATTCAACTGTTGTTTCGGAAAATAAAATTTTTGCATTTACTAATAAATAATCAATACAATTTCTAATTGAAGTCTTTCAAACATTTTTGAAATACCTGTAATTGTAAATTAAATTAATATGTGTAACAAATTTTATTTTATATATTTCGTGCTCTAATAATGTATTTAAGACGGGTCGTAAACTGTAATCAGTAGCTACCGAACATGAACCGTACACATAGAGAAGAAGAGAATGAGCATATCATAAACAGATGTTCAGCATAGATTTTAATTAGAATCGATAATAACTTAAGTTTATGTTATAAGAATACGAAATCTATCATTATACAAAGTTTCATCAAAATCCTCAATTTTTTGCGAAAAACTAATTAATGCGCGCGATTCCCATGCAATATCTTTCGAACAGTTTTTGAATTTTTGTGGAAAGTTTTTACACTTGCACATATACGCACACATGTTTGTTTGTCTATGTACACACGTTTTTTTTTGAGTTTGGTATCATTAGATTCAGAATGTCTTGAAACGTCGAGAAAGTGTATTAGCAAATCGGATTTTTTCGCGAAAACTTAAATTTCTCTTAATATATAGTTCTGCCATCTAGAAAAAAATGGTGAAATAAAATAATCTGAATATGAACCTTCATATTTCGGTTTCTGGCCACCTGATCTGTCAACTGTCAACAAAAACAACATATAATGACAGCATACGAAAAACAGCAAAGACTGACGAGTAAAATTTTATGAGTTTTTAGTTGATGTGCCAAAGAAATATAAATTACAATGGCTGGATCTTACTATTTTGTGATTGTAGGGCATAATGATAACCCTATATTTGAAATGGAATTCGCTCCAAGCAATAAAGATGCAAAGGTATGCAATTCATATTAATCTTGTATGATAGATTTCATAATATTTCGACCTGCTATTGCATATTTATTTGATTTCTAATGATGATTCTAATTTGAAGTCTAATTTTTATAATCGTATGTCTATTCATTTATCCAACAAACATTCTAAAAATACTGGTGTATAATATTAGTAGTGGCTTCGTAGAGCATTGAATCTGTATTTAACTAAGTTGTTAATATTAGCGTTTAATGATATTATAGTTATGTCAAAACATTGTGTTCAAACTTGCCCTTAGTACCCATTGAATTTTATAAGTTTTTCTTCATAATCGCAAGCAGTTTGTCTTTCTTAATGGATTCTTGAGCAACATTGAAAATATTAGTTCAGGAGTTCCTCAGGGATCCATTCTTGGTCCCCTACTATTTATTATTTTTATTAATGACATTTCTGATACTATTAACTGTCCACATTTATTATTTGCAGATGATCTGAAACTATATCTCAAAATAAATTCTATTGATGACTGCTTATTATTACAGTCTCAACTTGACCTTTTCCAATCTTGGTGTATCTATAACAAATTACATCTAAATATATCAAAGTGCAAGATTCTTAGTTTTACACATAAGCGCGTTCCAATACTTTTTGATTATAAAATTTCTAACACCAGCATTGATAGATGTAATAAAATTTCCGATTTAGGTGTTCTATTTGATTCTGGTTTGTTTTTCACAGATCATGTAACTGATATTTGTAATAGAGCACATCAATCTTTAGGTTTGATACTAAGAAATTGTAAACAATTTAAGTCTACCAATGCACTTCTTTGGATGTACTATTCTATTGTACGTTCAAAATTAGAATACGGTTCGATTATTTGGTATCCTCATCATATCAACAACTCTGATGCGATAGAGAAGGTTCAGCGAAAATTTCTGAAATACCTTTATTATAAAACATATAAAATTTCGGTATTCCTTCCCTTGCCTCACGTCGATTTATCTGTACAATTATGTTCTTATTTAAGCTTTGCAATAATTCTATAGACTGTCCTCTTATTCTCAATCAACTATCCTTTAATGTTCCAAGGCTATCTTCGCGTTCACAATTATTTTTCAATTATCCTACCCCTAAATCTAATTCTCTCTAAAATTCGCCAATTTTACTTATGTCCTCTAACTTTAACTTAATTAATAATGAAATGGACATTCACAACACTTCACCTAATCAAATAATCTCCATCTGCACAAGTTAATCTTTTTATTTTCTTTCAAATATCTCATTATTTTATCTTATTCTGTTTATAAATATTATTTATAAACAGAATATATATATATATTCTGCATTATATGCAATTTTATCTTAGCATTTTATGTTACTAACTATATATTGTAATTTTGTATATATCTTAATTGTTATTCATTATGTCAAATAATTGTATTTTTGAGTCCTCTTGGAGAAATCTGTGGGCTATATATTTAAATAAATAAATAAATAAGTTTTGCCAGTTTTACTAAATTGTCGTGTGTTGAGCAAAAAATTGAGGTCAGTCGTAAATGTATTAAATTTGGCTATTTCACATGGCTTTTTAAAGTACATTGGATATTTTAATAGTTGCTAAGTAATTATTATTTCAATATATATATTTTTCTTTATCATTTCATATTACAGATATTACATATTACAGATATTAGGTAACAAGTTTAGATTTGTTACCTAAAGAATTGGTTCACAATACATATTTATATAATTATTCTAGTTTAGTTTTAATTCATTTTGAAACGTTATTATTCAACTTTATTCAATGTTTGATATTGTATTCGAAAATGTAGAAGATTGAAATATTCAAAATTTTACAGAAAGAAGATCACAGACATTTAAGCCAATTCATTGCACATGCAGCTTTAGATCTCATAGATGAGCATATGTGGAAAACAAATCACATGTATTTAAAATCAGTCGATAAATTTAACCAATGGTTTGTATCATCCTTTGTGACTGCTAGTCAGATAAAATTTATTATGGTTCACGATATAAAAAATGAAGATGGTATTAAGAATTTTTTTATGGAGATATATGAGACCTATATAAAACATTTAATGAACCCATTTTATGTAAAAAATTCATTGATCAAATCTCAAAATTTTGAGAAAAAAGCTCAATTATATGGAAGGAAGTATTTAACATCTTAATTAGTTGACTTGTTACTATATGTTTTATATGGCTATTTATGTAATATAATTATTAGTAATATATTTACAAAATTAATTAATTAGTACATTTATATATTTACTATTATCATAAAGTAACAATCAGAATTTTATTGCTTCATTTCTGTTACAACAATAACTACATTATAAAAACACATTGTTCAATTAATGGGGATCATAAAGTATATTTAAAGTTTAACAAATATACTAAATTGTTAAGTTTGATATTAGTTTGTATTTTTGAACTTGTAATTTATTGGAAACTGATTGTTAATTTATAGGAATAATATGACAAAGACTGTTGGGTATGTTCTGATAGAAATATTAAAGACATAGTTCAATGTATCTCAGAAATTCTTTATAATTTTCAATTAATTCACTCGAGAGTGTATGATTAGTACTTGAAACAATTAATTTCATTTATCAACTGCATATATTCGATTCTTATCTAAATAAATCAGGGTAAATATATAGACTAAGTTTTGTATTATTTAGTATAATATTGAATAGATTTTTCATTTTAGATTTTGCTACAATTATGAAATTTTTATCTTATTAAGTATTACAAAGAAAATTCTGAAGCATTGGCAATTAATTTATTGTTATAAATTATTAAATTCAGCTTGTATGATTTTTTGTTTGTTTTATTTTCAAACTTTGTCCTTATTAAGTTTCAAAAACAGATATGTAATCAATGAACATAAAATTTAAAAAATTTTAACCCTGAAATTTTAATCCAATAATTTTGTAAAGCTTGACTTTTTCGATTTTTTTAATGATTTATATCATAAGCCAATCTTCGAAATCAATAAACCTCAAGATTTATTAAATTAATTAAAGACAATATAATACAAAAACAAAGAGTGGCAAATTGACTATTGAAGTTTTATAGCATATTTATGATGAACACATTAAAATATTTAATGTAATGTTTAAAGGAGCATTGAGGATACTTTTATACATAAGTATTATTGCTTCTTTAATAAAAGACCATACATAGATTGAAGGTGCGTGTGTTTGCATAACGAATATTGTAAAAGTTTTTGAATGTTTGAACTATCGGTACGAAAACTTAGTAAAGAGAATGAACTCTTTAAATAAAAAAAATCTTATTTTTATAATAAATAATTTTAAATATTTATTTTGTAACACGTGGTATTTTATGACATAACTCAATGTAGGTAATTCTGATGTTATTAACATTGAGTTTTGCAAATTGATGAAGTTGATTAATAGTATAATAAAGCTAATATGAAAATCATCATTTTTATATTGCATTTAGTAAAAACCTAGCTCTTATCAAGTGTTTAAAGTGAAACGTGAAAATGTATATATTGTATAAAGTGCATCCAATTTAATGACTTATTAATATATCGTCTTTTCCTTGTTAAACTTTTCTATTTTTTTATAAAGTATACTACAGTTAAGATTTCATTCCCATTTGTATTTGTACCACTTTTCGCTGGACTGAAATATATTAGGATGTTCTCAAAAAGTGCAAAAAAAATTTTTCCGATCATTAGTCTTTTGCCAGAAATGTCGAGAGGACATAAAATTAGCAAGTCAGATTTTCTCGCAAAAGCGTAAACTTCTCCTTAGGAAAGTTATTAAACAATTTCGATTATAGCCGCGCTTTTGATAATACATTTTCCGTTTTTCTTACAAATGTTTAAAATATATTTTCATTTTTTTATTTAAACGACAAAGATATTTGATGTAAAATATATTAGCTTCAGCTAAATTACGTATTAATTTCTATTTAAAATTTTATTAGCATTTTTATTGATTTTTTTTCATCTAATATTCATTTAGAGAGTAGGTGGGAAGTTCACGCAATTAATTTAAAGGCACAAAGGCACGCAATATTAGAACGGTTCTTGAGGGAAAAGTTTATGTTCTCTGTTAACCATTTCTCAAAAGTGATAGTTCTATTTAATCTCGACATTTCAAATTATTCCGAACCTCTTGTCAGAATTTGGAAAGATGTCTGCTTATTGATTGTTTATGCTATCTAAAAAACAAAATTTAAATATTAAAAATCCAATCGTTACAATTCCGATATTTAGGAAAGTCAAAGCCCAAGTTAGTTAAAATTGAAAGGTGTGATTTATTATAAATATATATTTTGTTCTTGTTAATATTATTAACCTCTTAATAATATTAACAAGAACAAAATATATATTTATAATAAATCACACCTTTATACTAAATTATAAACCTTTACACTAAATCACACGTTATAATAGTGGGGCGAAAATCGAAAATGAAAATTTTTGCATATCTTCACGTTTCACGATGCAATACACTACTAGTTTTTCTTCTATTCATAATGTCTGCTTCCGCAGTCTTTTTATACATCGTGATATAAAAAAAAGTTCTCATAAATCACATTTTTGAATATCATCTTTGCATAAAAAATGGATTCAAAATTATGGCCTGAAACGTGGACGAAAAAGTATACACTTTTCTACTAATTACAAAGAAACAGCTTCTCCAATTATTGCACAAAACTGATAGCGTTGAAAAACATAAAATTAGCAAATCGGATTTTCTGGCGTGATCTTTTCCTTCGGGGAGCTAAAAATACTGAAAAGTATGTAGGTACTATATACAGAATATTAAAAATTTTCAAGTAGGATTTATATATAATCTTACATCAAATCAGAATGAGTAATTTAAATTTTGAATTTCAGGAGATTATACTATTCTAATAATTCTAAACTCTAATTCTAAATATTTAGCTATATATTTGAATGTACACAATAAATGAGAGAATATTATAATTTCATTTGAATAGTTTTGCGAAGAAATTTCTTTGTAAAATCGATAATCAAATAATAAACTAGCTGTAAGTGGAATTCTGTCTTAAGGCAATTAAGGCATCGTGCCTTAAGGCAAGTTGCTGGAACTTCCCGTGCCAAAAATTATTATTTTTTTAAAAACGATTAACATTTTTGAAAAAATTTCACTTCGAAAAAATAAGATTTTTTAGAAATTTTAAATCGGACAAAAAATTACTTTTTTTTGAAAAAAAATTTTTTTTTAAAAAAAAATTTTTAAACAATTTTTTTTATAAAAATTTTTTTTTGGAAAAAATGTTATCTTCATTTTGATATATTTTGGAAGATCTGAACTTTTTTTCAAAGCAATCGTACTGCTTTAACTGCATAGAGACGAAATATAGAAGCGCGTAAGCGCCGCGTCGCTGTCTAACGGAAAAACAATAGTACGGAACCCATAGGAATGTAAACAAAACTTAAACTTATTGTTAAAATCTCAATAAAATATCTGATAATTTGATATGCATATGTCTAATGTCTAATGATTATTGTTGACCGCCAAATGTTATTTTTTTTTAGTTTTTTTTACTAGATCTCCGAAACCGCTAGACCTATCTTCATGAAAATTTGATCAAATCTTCATCTTATTAATACAAGTAAAATGTTTTTTGAACTATACAAATCGGACGCTCCGTGCTCTTAAAAACTGAGTTACCGTTTTTGGCACTTTTTGCCCCGTATCTCCGGAACGGCTAGAATGTTTTTTGAATTATTCAAATTGCTTCATCCGTGTTCCCGAAATCGTCGACGAAAATTTGTATCCGAACACACACACATGCACGCACACACACACACACATACATCAATTTTCTCCAAGGTATGCCAACATATTCAGAAACCATACCAGATATATAAAAATTTTCATTTTCGATTTTTTTGCGATTACTTACCCTATGGAAAATTAATTATAAATAAATCAATTTATCATCTCCAGAATTTTAACAATCGTCATTTCATTTCGAATCAAATTCCAAAAAAAAAAATAGTTGCCAAATTTACCCAAAATTGAAAAAGTGCTCCCGCATAGTCACAGTCTAATATTTGCAAATAATTCTGTGCGACATTTTCACTTATACTGTGCTCAGCTTGGCGGCATTTTCACATTTTTCAATAATTTTCACAAAATTGGAAAAGTGCTCCAGTACATTTGAATGATCCAAAAAACTTTCTGCTTGTTTCAACAAAATAATTGATTTTGAAAAAAACAGTTGTTTCTATTTTTTTTTCAATTTTTTTTTTCCAAGATTTTTTTTTGAATATCGAAAATAATTCAGGTTTTAATTCTAATCTGTTTTAATATACTTTAAACAAATAATTTCAACTTTGTAATTCAGTTTATATAATTCTTATAAATATTAGACAATGTTACAATATTTAAATTTATAAAAATCTATTTGAAAACATTGAATATATTCCCCGAACATTTCGTTACGGTACGGAAAGTTCCAGCAATTTGCCTTAAGGCACGATGCCCAATAGTTAATTCTTATCGTTAGTCAAGAAATGTATATTCTATAGATTTTCAAGCTAGACACGTGTTTCACAAAAATAGGATTGAAGCAATGGTTAAAAAATATTGTTTACATTGCTGTATATTATACAAATTCTTCTTGAAAATAAAATAAATGTAATTATTTAAATTCATGCTAAATACATTTTAAACAAGAAATTATATATTGTAAATGTATTTGCACGAGCCATTAGAACAATGTCATTCGTTCATTTTTGCGACGGTATGCTTGCATTATTGTGATTTATTATTATTTATTATTTTTTATTTGTGATCAATCGAACTGGTAATCAATAAGTTATGAAATTCATTTAATTCACTTGAAACTCGTAAATGAATTGACTATCTAATTAGCCTTGATATTTGAACTATAAAATCATAAACTTTAGCTTTTGCAATAACATAAAACAAAGAAATGAATATATTCTATAAAAAAATATGCACATATATGGTGCGAAAGAAAAAGCTTGCTGAAAGGTGCGTTGTTTTGAAAAAAAAAATATTTATTACTTTTCATCTTTAGCACAATAAATTTTAAATATAGTATTTCAGAATATTAATTATATAGTTCAAAAAACATTATTTAAAAAATAATTTATAAAATGAGAAAGTTGATTAAGCACTCTATATGAAAAGAAATGTTAAAAATATATTTCTTTATGTTATCTGAAGCACAATCTTAACCACTATTTAGCTCTATTAGACAACCCAATAGTTTTCCTCTCTTTGGGATGAAATAGAATGCTTCTAATTGTGATGTTATATTTTGCAATAATGCCCTGAATAGCTATTTTTATCTGGAAAAACGTATTTGGTACTGCATTTTCAAGCAAAAACGAATATTACTATTACATAGCGCGAAGTCTGAATTCGAAACTTGGTGGTTGCAGGGGAAGGCTTTTGGACTACAAATGTCCAAAAATCAAAGGATAACATTAAACGTTTAATTTTGATATATTACAAGCATGAAACGTTGTATCCATACTTTGTCTGGTTTTGTTTATAAAGTCCAAAGTAAACTTATCCGCCATCTGCTAGGTGATTGTCGACATCTACTGACCGGTTAACGATCGTAAAAATGTTTTTAACCCACAGTTTCTTTATATCAACTCGTTTAAAATTATATCCTGTCCTGTACCGTATTTCTGAAAACAAAAATCCTTTTGAGAAGTTTAAAATTTCTTGAAAATTTTGATTTTTTTTATAAATTAGATTTTTTTTTGAAAAACTTGAAAAAAATCGACTTTTTTGATAAGCTTAAATTTTTTTTAACACCTCGATTTTTTTTCAAAATTTTAAACTTTTTTCAAATCGATCGCGCTAACTGGCTGTGTTATAGACGAAATATATAAGCGCGTAAACAAAATTGTTATATCCTTATTATTAAAATCTAATTAAATTAAAATATCTGGAAATTTGATTTGCATATATATGTCTATGGTGCAGTAAACGGATAGGAAAAAAGGGTGTAACCTCTGAATTTTTTTACTGTGCTCCGAATTGAATGAAATTTTGGAATTAGGTTCATCTTGCCCTCAAGTTCAAAAGTGAAAACAATTTGGGTTGCGCCATCATCCCCCGGGGAAATGACCCCCCTTCTCAATTGTGTAATTACATTTTTTCAAAATAACGTCGGAAATCGGTAGAAGAACTAATTATATAGTTTAATTTAAAAAATGTCTTTTATAGTTTTTCAAAAAAACTAATACTTTTCAAGTTACTGACCACTAAAGATTCATATATTTTTGGTGTTTTCTTCGTTTTTTTGCAAATAAATCCTAAAATATACATTTTAACGATAACCATGTAATGAACAAAATAATCAATAAAAATCTTAATAAAAAGGTATTACATAAAGTGTTCTAGGAAAAATATTACTACTAATGATCATTTTTGACCGCCAAATGGCATTTTCTATTGGATCTCCAAAACTAGATTTGACAAAAATTTAACGAAATCTTTATTCCGTCAATTCATGTGAAATATTTTTTGAATCCTTCAAATTATTAACTTCCCGTAGGGTAAGTTATAGTAATCGCAAAAAAATCGAAAATGAAAATTTTTATATATCTTTACGTTTCAGAGGTTTCTGAATATTTTGGCATACCTTAGAAAAAATGGATGTATGTGTGTGTGTGTGTGTGCGTAGTATGTATGTGTGTGCGGATACAAATTTTCGTCGACGATTTCGGGAACACGGATGAAGCAATTTGAATAATTTAAAAAACATTCGATCCGTATTGATAAGGAGACGTGCTGATTAGTTTTTGGCGGAGGTAGGTCTAGCCGTTCCGAAGATATGGGGCAAAAAGTGCCAAAAAGGGTACCTCAGTTTTTAATAGAACGGAGCGTCCGATTTTAATAATTCAAAAAACATTTTACTTGTATTGACAAGATGAAGATTTGATCAAATTTTTATAAGGGCAGGTTTAGCGGTTTCGGAGATATAACGAAAAAAGTAAAAAAAAATGCCATTTGGCGGTCAAAAATGATCGTTAGACATATGTACATCAAATTATCAGATATTTTATAGAGATTTTAACAATAAGTATAAATTTTGTTTACATTCCTATGGGTTCCGTACCAATGTTTACCCGTTAGACAGCGACGCGGCGCTTACGCGCTTTATATTTTGTCTCTATGCATTTAAAGCAGTACGATTGCTTTGAAAAAAAGTTTAGATCTTCCAACATATGTCAAAATAAAGAAAACATTTTTTTTTCAAAAAAAAAGATTTAAAAAAAAAAATTTTAAATAATTTTTTTTTTCAAAAAAAAGTAATTTTTTGTCAAATTTATAGTTTCTCAAAAATCTTATTTTTTCGAAGTAATTTTTTTTCAAAAATGTTAATTGTTTTTAAAAAAAATAATAATTTTTGTTACGGGAAGTTCCAGCAATTTGCCTTAAGGCACGATGCCCTAATTGCCTTAAGACAGAATTCCCCTTACAGCTAGTTTCATGCAATTTTGCCGCGTTTGTTCGAAATGGCTGGAACTGCATTCGCAAAGTACTAATCAGCATGTGTCCCTCTCAAGAGCAATCGAATGTTTTATGAATCATTCGTGTGCCATGCTTCCCAAATCGTAGACGACTACTTGTATCCGCACATGCACACGCACACATAAATCCATTTTTCTAAGGTATGCCAAAATGTTTAAAAACCCATGAATCGAAAAGACACGCAAAACTTTTCATTTTCCAATTTTTTGCGGAATTAACTAAGGGAAGTTAATTAACATTTTGTTTAAGTTTTTGAAAGTTTCAAATTTAACATTACAATGTCTGCAAAACTTATTATATATTGCTGATGTATATCATGGTATTGGTTTGAAACTAGTGGGGTGTATGGCATCGTGCCTTAAGGCAAATTGCTGGAACTTCCCGTACCGTAACGAAATGATTGAGGAATATTAAATGTTTTAAAATAGATTATTATAAATCTTGTAACATTGTCTATTTATATTTATAAGAATTATATAAACTAAATTGGAAAGTTGAAATTATTTGTTTAAAGTATATTAGAACAGAAATAAAATAAAAATCTGAATTATTTTCAATATACAAAAAAAAAATTTTTTTGGAAAAAAAAATTTAAAAAAAAAGTTCTTTTTCCAAAATCAATTATTTTGTTAAAACAAGCAGAAAGTTTTTGGAATCATTCAAATCGGACGCTTAGTTTTCTCAAAAACTGCCATTTTTTGCACATTTAGCTTTGTATCTCCGAAACCGCTGGACCTGCTTTGCCAAAAACTAATCACCCCTTCTCCCCGTCATTACGAATTGAATGTTTTTGGGATCATTCAAATGGGACGCTCCGATCTCTCAAAAACTCGATTTCTATTTTCTGCACTCTTCATATAAAGTTCTTACTTACTTTAATTAATACTTTTTTTTTTAAACAGCCGATGAAAGAAGAAAGGAATATTTTATTGAAGAACATTTTAAATAAAGTTTTTGTGCCTAATTATGAAAGTTATTATGAATAATTTATAATGTAATGCTACTGCTAACTGATAACTTATAATTTCTATTTTTTGAGTGAATTATTTCACATGCGTCACATTTCCGTGACAAATTAAATTTTTATAGCTGACAATGCATTCCGGGTCATCCATTATATAGTTTAGTGATATAGATCTTAAATGCAAAAATAGTTGACAAAAATAATATCTTGGACCAGAAATTAAGGAATACCAAAGTTAGTATTATTTTTAAAAAATGTGTGGTAATTTTAATGGTAAAATATGTTTAAATCTTGAATTGATTTTGGTAATCCATTTATTCTAATTACAAAGAAACGGCTTCGCCAAAACTATTATATTTCGAAGAGTTGTTGAAATTTTTTAAAATCGATGCAGATTGTGGATCAAATCGTGGACAAATTTTTTGCTAATTACGAAAAAACGGCTTGGCCGATAGTCCCACAAAACTGACAAGCATATACTTATCTTGCTACATCGAATAGGTTTTGAATTTTTAAAATTGTTTCAGCTGTTTTTTTAGAAAACGTAGACGAAAGGTCAAAAATCAGCTCACACATACTTTTTCGAAAGTTGCTCTCATTCGATTCAGAATGACTTGAAACATCGAGATAACATAAAATTGGAAAATCCCATTTTTTGCGAAAACAAACTTTTCCTTGGGGAAATTAAAAATATTGTAATTTATAGAAAAATTTATAGAAATCAAACACGTGTTTATTTACTGATATATTAATCTCCGTGTCGTTTTATTCCATGACTCTAATTGTTAAGTTTGTCATATGCGACTAGCAGGACGTGAAGCATCAACGCCACTCCTAATCATGCTAAAAATCCTGACACTGTTATTATCTCATTAAAAATAATTTAAAATATTTACGATGTTCCCAGAACAAAAATCATATGGGTACTCTATATAACTTTGAGGGCATAGTCTATTACGTTTGATATGAACTCAAAGAATATGAATTTATTTACTTCATTAAAGATACTTAATCTAACGATTTGGCGACAAGTGTGCACTAATGAAAAAATCATTCAAATTGTATTACACGTTTTTAATTATATAGATATCATTGTTTAATTTCAATATAAACGAAGCCTATGTTTTTGTAATTCAAAATAAAAGCAGCAACGTTTTGAATTATGAATGAGTAACAAGTTTATCACTAGTTTCAAATAATATTATTGAACAAACTCAAATGTTTGTTTGATAATATTGTTTCAAAATATAAAACATTTGATTTGATAGTTGCCGGTTTGAATGACTAATAACTACACTATCGACACTATAATTTTTTAATTTGGTAATTTGAGGACGCTGATTTTAAGTAATTCGAAAACAGTAACAGAAATTTGCTAACAGCTCTGGTTTTTGAGATATGCTAATATGCTAGTTTTACTACAAATTACAATAAAATATACAACATATTTTATTTTATGCCTTCAAAAGTCTACTTATATGAGTTTCTATGAGACAAGGCCTAACTGATTTCGTCATAAGCTCTAACAATTGTCAGCCATCATGTGGATGTTCCACCTTCCTTTCTCCAAAGCTCTGAAGTCTTCGTGGAGCTTCTCGCACTGCTCGTCGCGAATATCTCCAAAATTTTCCAAAAACCATTCTGAATAAGAGTGCAGTTGATGAATTCAAATCAATTACATCAAATATATCAGTTTTTAATTCTTCCTGTCTTCTCTTTTGATGTTGGTATCTGCATTCATCACTTGGTAGGCAGGAGTTGTTGATGTTCTAGGTTTTTTTATTTAATTTATTCTGCAATCTGTTTTACATGAGCATTAACATTAAGCAGAGATTGCTAACAATGATTATCAATGATGTTCTAGGTTGTTCATCATAAGCATGGATAGGGATTGTGTAGCTGATCATAAGTAGATCTCAATACCATTGGGGTTGTGGTTCATGACTATTTGCTTCTATTGTCTGAATTTATTTTATTGGTATTTACCACACAGAAGAAACAATCGTCGGGGTGATTCTGAGATTTTTTCTAAATGACGAAGGTATTATAATTATATCATTTTATGTTCTGGATAATAACATAAACATACTACGAAAATTTTTCACATAGTATGAACAATCCAGGTTTTATCTTTATTGCGCAATTTAGTTTTGAAGTGGTTGAAATACGATGTCTTTACGCAGTTCGACATAGGTTTCCGGTATTTGTCAAAAAGATATTAACCACAGATATTATCTGCATTATTCACACAACGTCTTAGAGTACAAAAAAAATATTTTTAATAATTTATTTGTTTGGTATCAATATACATATACATGTACATATGAAAATAAATAGTTTAAGAATTCGTTGAGAACATAAATAAATCATGACGTGATGCTATAAAATGATATAAATATTTGGCATTGAAATCTCTCGCGACCCCTCTCGAAATTGCGACTCATAGTTTAAGAAGCCTTTTACTAGTATATCTTTAAAACTTTAAAATACCAACTATTAATCAAGTGATCAATTTTTGAAGATTTTTGGTCCCCTCTACTCTCCTTTGGTGATACAAGGTAATATTTAGAATAACCCCTCTTCCATATCCGAAAATTACTTGTATTTCTAGTATCTAGAAACAATCATTAAATTTTTGGAAACCTGAAAATTTTTTATTTTTTTTGTCAGATAACAAAATGCACATGTTATTCTACTACACTCCCCTAAGTGATATTTTGTGATTTATTGTCAAAACCCTATACTCCTTCTAAGCCGCACTTGATTAATGGACGGCCCCAAAGATCTTTTCATACACATTGAAGCTTTTTGATTTAATATTTATTTTAACATCTGTGGTATAGGGGTCAAGTTGTGTATGTGGAGACTTTTATATAGATTATAATAATTGGTTTTAAAATACTGATAACATGTGATGCACGCTACCATACTAATTAAGAAATATGAATTATGTAATAGGTAAATGAAAATTGTTTTTTCTTGTTGTTAGCTAAACGCTAAATTGAATTGAAAAATATGATTATAGATTCAAAAATTGGATATGATGAAAAAGTTGGGTTTTTTTAGTTGCATCGTTCGTACTAATAGAGTGAGGGTTCAACCTGATAGTGGTATCCGTTCTCACTTCAAAATATAGACTATATTTCAATTATATGTTTTCCTATGTAATATTTGATCAGTATGATAATAATAATAGTCATCATAACAGTGATATTCCATAGTAGTTTGATTTCTCACAAAATTCTCGAAATATACATGGCTGGAATATATATGGAATTATATGAAAAATATCAAAACAAATTTATATATTATTATTTGCATCCAATTTGAAATTACGTAGCAAAATTTATATTCCTTGAATAACTATATCAGAGATTCAAAACAACATTAACCTCTGACTTTATCAAATCAGTTTTGATATAATATGAACATGTAAAAACCCATTTAAAATTATTTTATGATATTAATAAAATTCGATCGATGTTCATATACCAACGCATAAAAAATGCATTGTTATCTATATGTGCAAGGTTTTTTTTATATTTCACTCAAACACAAATATCACGTGTTTCACGAATGGTAATTCGATGAATACATAATAATGAATATTTAATATAATAATTGATGTTTCTGATCCATTCATGTGATTGCGAAGCACAACAAGTATTATCTCAACATCCGTTTAATCGTTTGAAATGTCAAAATAGTCCCGGGATCAATTATTGTTAGTGCATTGATAAAACATTTGTTCGCTATTAGGATATTTTTTTGCACTAAAATACAGAAACTATATTAAACTATTAAAGTGTACATGTAAAATACATACAAAATTATTATTAACAATGGTGAAGAATATCTTCTAAATTATTGATTAAAGGTGCAAGGTGCTGCATTTACTATAGACATAATACTATATTGCACTATTTTATAATTCAGAAAACAAAAAAATGATAATAATAAATATTTTTAAACAACTTTATAGAAAATATTCAAACTATAATACATAAAACTGGTTTCAGTTTCAGAACATTTTGGCATGCTTTAGAAAAAATGGATGCATGTATTTGTTGGTGTGCATGTGTGCGGATACAATTTCTGTCGACATTTCGATAGCACGGATCAACCGATTTGAATGATCCAAAAAACATTCGGTTTCTATTAATAAGGAGACATGCACAGTTTTTGGCACAGGCAGGTCTTTTGGAGATCTAATGAAGAATGTAAATTGGCGGTCAAGAATGATCATCAGACTCGTGTGCAACAAATTTCAAATGTTTTAGACTCGTGTTCAACAAATATCTAATGTTTTAATAATCAGTACAAATTTTGTTTACATTTCAATGGATTGCTCATCAAGATTTATAATATTTAATCTGTATACTGCAACGCGGCGCTTCGCGCTTTACAATTTTGTTTTAAACTGCTATGATTGCTAAGAAAAAAATTCAAAATTTTCAAAAAAAAAATCAAAATATCAAAATAATCAAATTTTCTTAAAAGAAAGACCCATTTTTTCAAAAATTTCAACATCCTTACAATTAATTAAAAAATTAATCTTTAATTTTCCATACATTTCGACATATTTTATGTCATCACCAGTGGATGTGGATATAATGTCTTGCATTAGTAGAAAAGCTAGCTAAATTATGTGCGCAAAGTACATAATTTGCACTATTATTTATAATACACTAATTTGTTTTAAACGAAGAGATTTTTATGTTTTAAATAGAGTAAATGAATAAAGCAGAGTTGTGAAGCATGAATAATTTAGATGAATGACAGAATATTTTTCAAGAGTAAGTTGTAATCACGATTGTCTTCAAAGCTCAAAATATATTAAATCTACAATCATATTAAAATTGTTGACGAAAAATTTTATTCAAACAAACCACATTCTACATCATTCATTTTTTCTGATGCATGCTAAAATGTTCAGGAGGTCTTGAAACGTAAAGATATGCAATAATTTTTAATTTTCGATTTTTTACTTACTCTACGGGAAGTTAAAAAAAATATTTACATTAAAATATGTCAATTTTCAAAATCTCTGATGAAGAAGTTTTTGTATTTTTAGTCATCTTTTCCTACAGTTTCCTACATCTATTCACTTCAGGGCAGGTGCAAAATTACTATAGTATATAATAATAAAAATCCAAGTACAACAGTAAGTATATTAATGAATATTTTCGTGCAATATTTTTTTTGATATTAATTATGTTTAATCTTATCTTATGCAATACTTTATTTTCGCAAAGTTTTCAATACTGAAAATCCCGTAATCTTTAAAATGTTTTCGCAATTTGTTATTGGAATGATTGCATGAACTAATATTATTTGAACTATTTATTATAATGCATTCTATTCCATATCAGTGTAAATTTAATATTATATACATATAAAAAATATTTTCGTACGTATAAAAATATTTTCATTCATTCTCTTACTAATGCTTGCAATAACAAGTTTTTTATATTTTATGAGAGATCAAAACATTCTTTATGTTTTATGGGCTATTGTTATGTATTTAATATATCCTAGTATTATTAGAAAGCAACCCAAAAGTTGTTCTTTCTCTTTTGTGTTTTTTTTTAACTTCCCGTAATGGGTCGTAATCCAAAATGAAAATTTTTACATACAGAAAGGGCAGCAATTATGGCGCTCAACGTGTTAAGTAAATATTTTGCCTTTATACATTTTGCTTACAGTCAATTTTTTTAGCTCGCAATGTTTCTTTAACTGGCAACTTATCATTTAGTTCAGGTGAATGCATTATTGACATTTCTTTCGTTCAGTTCCAACCAACTAATAACAAGCTAAAATAATAGTTCTCTGTTAAGCCTCGTGCACACGACGCCAGTATTCCTTGTAACAGGATTTCTGTCGTAAGGTGAGCAAGAATTTTGCGCCAGATTTTCACTTATTTTATGAGTAATAGTAATTTCGTGCATTTCAAATAGATTATTATAAATATATACTGTGAATTTCACAATTCATATGTTATATGTAAGTGTTCAACCAGAGAATTGTATGAATTGTAAACAAAAACATTTATATATATATATATATATAATATATATATATCGCATCTGATTAGGATAAGTAAATAATAATAATTAAAAGATAATAAAATGCTTCATTTGATATAACAATTATTGATTTTAAAATCAGTATCTTTATCGGATAATTAATACTGATATAAAAATATTAAAAAGGTTCGCAATTTTTGTTTTTTTTTTAATTTTGAGTATTTTTCTAAATTTCGAAATTTTTGAAATAAAACGATTTGAATTTTTTTTTTAATTTTTGGAAATTTTGAAATTTTTTCGGAAATTTGAATATTTTAAAATTATTAAACTGCGTTTCCTAAACTAATCATTTCATGCCGCTATACACAATAGCTATTTACAAAATAAAAACTGCTGAACGCTTCCAAAATCGAAATACATGAATCAAGTACGCATTGATATTTACTTGACAAAATACAGCTTTCCTGTTGGACACTGAAGGTATCGGCCCAAAATAGTTAATCCATCGCCGATTAGGACATTTCTCTATTCGTACGGCAAGAATTTTCGAGGACAGAAGTTGTTGTGGAATCAAATTCCGACGTTGCTAGGCAACGGTTTTACACAGAAATTATAATGAGGATACCGCCGTTGTGATAGAGATCTTAAACGTGAAATCTGGCTGGCAAGATCGCAAAATATGTCGGGCAAGATCGTAAATTATGATTTATCATATCGTTGCTAGGTAACAAAGTGCCCCGCATGAAATCTGGCGTCGTGTGCACCGGCTTTATGCATGTTTTTTCTTACTCCCTCCTGAGATTTATATTACTGATTT